TGATTTAAACTATTACTATTTTTTGCGTGGGCGGTCAAAGGAAGTTTTATTCTCTGGAAAATAATAGTTTATAAGTAAAAGGTGTTCGTAATCTAATTGAAGTTCTCTAGTCTATGTCATATAAAAAAAAAAAAAATTCGAATCTAAGCACAGATTTTGTGCTTAAATCTTATTAACGAAATCTTTTACGTGACGAAATTTTTTTCCTTTTAAATCTTTTCCCGAAGATAAAATTATGAAAGAAAAAGTGCTGCAAATGAAATTCTTTGGTATAAAGATTTTTAAGGATTTTGTGATTTTTTTTTCTTGATGATAAAAGATAAAGAAGACTCTACATCATTCGGTTTTCATTTTATTTTGGTATTTTATTTTAATAATTTTTGCTCTTCTCTTTTCTTAATCTTTATTATTTTCCATGTTTTCGCTATATTTTAAACTTCTATCTATTACATTTTAGGCTTGTTTTAAAGAAGAGTAAAATATCTGTGACTATATAATAACTTATTAAGCAATAGAGGTCACGGACTCTTCCCGAAAACAAACCAGGAATAAAATATTTCCAATTTGCTCTTTTTTCCAATTAACCCTTAGACGCAGATGGAATACTAGTGTCCCTTTTTACTTGTTTTTTTTTTTCTTCTCTCTAACTACAAGCAAAAATACACTTTTTGTATTTTTTAATTCTAAAAACAGTCTAACAATTACTAAAAAAAATCTGTTGGATTATCGGGATTAGATTTGTACTAAAATAAATGCGTGTAATCCAATCAAAAAATTAAACTAAGTTAGTAATTCTTTTTATTTGCATTTAAAAATGTATCAATAATTAATGTTGTAAATTAAAGAAATATCAATGATGAAAAACTATTTTATTAGATCTAAATAGCTGCAAATAAGTGCAAATTTGGAAAATTGTTGGTAAGTGAGCTGTGTTTGGAAGATTTTACTTTTAACGCAGAAAAAGACACCCGTGTTTCGTGCTGTTTTTCACCATCTCAAATTATTAAAATTCTAAATATAAATTTTTATGCATATTTTGACTTAAATTTATACCAAATAATGAAAAAAAAAAAAAGTCTCGTTTTTCGTGTGATTGTAAATCCGAGATATCTACAGTCCGAGAGCATCCCTAGAGTTAACATCCATTTTTACTTAGTAAAAAATGGATATAGTTTCCTGAAAAACTACTGAATCTATTTTCAAAAACTTTCTTTTTAAATTTATGTCATTGATTTATTATATTTATGTTTTAATTTACTTCTTAGATTTTTCCTTGTTTCAAGTTTTTAAAAATGCTTAAAGGCGCTTATTTTTGATTTATATTTTTTAAAAGCCTTTAAAGATGCTTTTTTTTTTTATTCGGGGTTTGTAAAAAGAGCTTAATTTTCTATCTTTTAAAAGGAGATTTTTTCTTTGCCGTGTCGATTGTCGTTCTGAATTNAATTTTTTTTTAAAAATTAGCCTAACAGGTTTTTCTGAAAAACTACAGATATATAAAATTTTCGAAATCAATTTTGACAATAAATATGCATTATATAGTACGTGAAAGTACCACAAAATTAATCGGAGTATGAGACAATCACAATAGCTAATAGTCTGCATTGGGGTAATAAAATACCGATTTTTCTATACATTGAATTATTTTTTATCTCTCACAGGACCTTCTATGGGCCGAAACGAATGTTGCCCCCTAAAAACGAATGTCCTCATAAGGCATACATCCCACTAGTTTATTTCAAAATTGGCGAGTCACACTTCCCTAGTTTCCCTTGTTAGTAAAAAATGGATATAGTTTCCTGAAAAACTACTGAATCTATTTTCAAAAACTTTCTTTTTAAATTTATGTCATTGATTTATTATATTTATGTTTTAATTTACTTTTTAGATTTTTCTTTGTTTCAAGTTTTTAAAAATGCTTTCAAGTTTTTTCATTAATTAAATTAATGAATAAAAATGCTTAAAGGCGCTTATTTTTGATTTATATTTTTTAAAAGCCTTTAAAGATGCTTTTTTTTTTTATTCGGGGTTTGTAAAAAGAGCTTAATTTTCTATCTTTTAAAAGGAGATTTTTTCTTTGCCGTGTCGATTGTCGTTCTGAATTACAAAAAATGCAGGATTTTCAAAATTTTCTCCGCAATATTTATCAGAAACTAGTTATTTTGTCATGATTACGTGAAATTTGTGAAAATTTTTTTGAATTTTGTTGATTTTATGTTCATAAATTCAGAACTTTAAACGATAGAAAAAAATAATTTTTATTACTGCACAGATTCTAATTATGAATATTTATTTATTTATTTATTTATTTATTTATTTATTTATTATTATTTTTTTTTTTGGAGTGTGATTAAAAATATTTTTTGAGTGCTTAAAAGGTGCTTATTTCTTGTTGAAAAATCTTTCTACGCACCCTGATTAAAAATTGATTATTTTAAAACTACATTAAAATCACTTTCTATGCTTATCTTTTTTTAAAAGTAAATAAAATTGCAAAGCTTGGAATTTTTTTCTCTTAAAAAATAAAATAAAAGAAAGTGATTTTAAATCTAATTATTTATAATTAATTATTATATCAAATGATTTTTAATTTAAAATTTTTTTTTATCATTTAAAATGCTTTCTTTCCTCGCTGACTCCCTTTTAAGCCTTAAGCATTTTGAACAAATTAATTCAGCCAGTACTGTTTATTATGTAGTCCGTGAATTTCCACGCTCTTATCTATTTTTAAGGAAAATAAAATGTTGATTGTTTTCAAATTTAATTGCACACATGTCCAACTTCGCTTCCTTTTACTGTCATTTTCCTGGGACGCTTTACAAAAGAGTATAACAGTGTAATAGAGTGTGATAATAATAATAAATTTAATGTATCTTATACAGCAAGAACAATAGGAGACAGTATAATAATTCATGATGGTGAAATACTTTAAAATATGCTGCATTAGTCATGATTTATTAAAATTTCAATTTGAAATATTCAAGGTTAAATTAGAAAATAATAATGCCTTTAAAAAAAAAATAAGTGACTCAACATAAAAATTTTATTTTATTTTGCCATTTCATTCTAAAGGCTTATCGATATGATAAGACACAGATTTCTGTATACATTCGATTTAGTCTTAAACAACTTGAACATACATCAAATATAGTTTGATAGATAAATTCATTTCATGCGATTTAAGATACCATTGGAAACAATTCTACTGAACTTGTTTTTTGATCCATTGAATTACAAATGATGAATTTAAAAACAAGAACAATACAACATTTTACAGGAAAAGTATCCTTAATGTTTTTAATCGCACCAAAAAATAATTTTAGATGCATATTTTTTTTATTCTTCCTAAATCGCTGATTTTTCGATTTTTTTTTTTTTTTTTTAAAATCTTTGTGAAACTTTTCAAAATAATTGAAATAAAAAAAATGGGTTATTTTTATACAAGAGAATATAATCTGGACTTTTTGTGTCGTACTCTCATTTTGGAAAATTTTATTCCCGATATAAAATCATGAATTTTGAATGTTGAAAATCTTACATTTTTAAGAATTGTAAAATTAAACAGCTTATGTAGGAGGAAAAAATTGAATTAAACGTTTATCAAAATTGTTATTCATGAGCGTCGTTGGTGGGGAGGGTGAGGTATAAGTCTCTGCTCATAATTAGAAATCTTTAAATCATTGATTTAAATTAAAAAAAGAAAGAGATAAAAATAATTTCTCTTTTTTTTCCTTCAGGTATTTAACACATTTAAGATTTTTTTCTTATGATTGAAATTCAGAAAACTGTTGTGACTGTGTTTAACGTTATTTAATTCCTCCTAAGAAATTGGGTCCTTAAGATACCCATGTGTACGTTATACTTCTGCACCATACTGTTGCAGCGTTCTTCCTAAGCGTTTTTTGAAGTCCCTTTGATTCCAAGAAATGCCCCCTTTTTGTCCTTTTTGTAAAAATAAGCCGCTATCCCATAAAAACACAGCCTTTTCATTCATATTTCATTTTGAAAAAAATTACTTCACTGTTTAAATAATAATTTCACACTAATAAAATTATCTGTTTTTATAGGTTTAATTCTGATTACTATTACAGACATTTATTTCGTTAACATTATTAACTGGTTAAATTTTATAGGTATCTTTTCAGGGGGGGGGGGGTATTAATAAATTTTTTAAATTTTAAAACCATTTTTTTAAATAAATGCTTTTTTTATTAAGCACCTTTAAATCTTTTCTTATGATTTTCAGTTTAAATTATAGAAAAAAGCTTTGAAAAAAAAAAGCTTTCAAAGCTTTTTTTTAAGTTGTTAATCAATTAATAATTTTTTGTTAGTTTACTTTTTTGAAGAAAAAAAATAATAATCTGCACAGAGATTGCCTTTTAGCATACTTTTAATTATTTTTATAAACTAAAATTTTTTCTCTTTTCTTGATAATGGAGAATTACTTTTTGAAATATACACATAAAATATTATAAGAGGGTAATTTAAAAATTGTTGAGGATGAAAGTCAGTTATTACATAATACACACATTTTGATAAATTTTTACGGTGTTAAGTGAGTGCCCTTTCAAGACTCAGAATGTCCTTATCTGAGAGGAAGTGCCCTGTCCTTTTTTATTCTTAAGGAGAACTCTGTATACTATAAACCCTTTGAAAATTTATTTAATTAATAAAACTTTGTTTTACTACTATCCGTTTTTTTTTAATCTGATGGTATCTTTATCTTTTTTTAAGGAAATTTTGGCTAATTTTTTTTAATAAGAACTTTTTATCTCTTATCGGAGTGCATAGTAAAATGAGCTTTGATACTTTAAGTTAATTCTTGTAACTTATTTGCTTATTGACGTTAGAATGGAAAATGTCAAAGAGGGTAAATAGTTCTTTTTTATAAATGAGTGAAGTCTAATCAATGTGTAAACTTGTTAATAATCTGTGTGTTTACAGCATATTTGTGAAACTATTTGTAGATTTATTTTGTTTTTAACTTGGTGTTCATATTTCAGTTTCTCAGAGATGAATTACAATATGAAAATGGAAGGCACAAAGAACGACATAAAGAATTTCATGGGACAGATAAATATATCAATGTTGATGAATTGTGGCAAGTGTGGAAAATGTCTGAAGGTATGCACCCAAAATTCTTTCAATGGTGTAGTGTAGAGTTCTTACATGACACTTTAAGCTTCTTTATTCATCGCATTTTGCATGTGGAATAATAACTTTCACTACAGATAAAGAAAAACATAACTATGGTAGCTGTAAAACATTCGATTATCCTTCCGTTAAAAGCATTTTTCATTTTTGACTATATAGTTATTAATATTTAAAGATGTTACTTTTTTGACCTAATTTAATTTTATATTATCAACTATTTTATATTATATAGACAGTATTTTATCCTAATTTTTTGTATGTTATACTGTAGAATCCTGCACTGTTCTAAATACAGAAGTAAATTTTTCTCAATATTATTTTACTGTTAATTTTCACCTCATTTGTTTATATATATAATTGTAATTTCCCAGTTATTTAATTGGCGTGTGTTATTTTGTCAGTGCACAATTGGACTGTGGATGAAACCGTAGACTGGCTAATAACTCAAGTTGATCTTCCTCAATATGAGCACAATTTTCGTAACAATGGAGTTAATGGAGCTTCTCTGCCTTTGTGAGTTTATCTGTTTATTTTAAACTTTTAAATTATTTCAGTTCTCAAATCCGAAACAAAAGTATATTTGCAATTTTNAAATATTGTACATTGCGATTCTTATTTACGAGATTTAAAAAACCGATATCGCGATTTGTATTTACGTGCTTTTAAAACCCCGTGTAGCTACGCGAGCTTAAAATCCAATGTCGTGATTCGTTTTTGCGGTTGTAATATCGCGCGATTTTAAAATTATGCATCTTGATCTAAAAATTACGCATCATGATTTGTATTTTCGCATTTTTTAAGTTCGATGTAGAGTTTCATATTCACGTGATTTAAAAGCCTCATTCGGGATTTATAATCACATGTATTACAAGTTTAAACAAAAATTTGACAAAAAAGTGCGATTTATATATATATATATCTATATATATTCTTGGATTTCCTCTTTTTTACTCTCTGACTACTCTCATCCCTGTATTATATAAACAGTATTTTATCCTAATTTTTTGTATGTTATACTGTAGAATCCTGCACTGTTCTAAATACAGAAGTAAATTTTTCTCAATATTATTTTACTGTTAATTTTCACCTCATTTGTTTATATATATAATTGTAATTTCCCAGTTATTTAATTGGCGTGTGTTATTTTGTCAGTGCACAATTGGACTGTGGATGAAACCGTAGACTGGCTAATAACTCAAGTTGATCTTCCTCAATATGAGCACAATTTTCGTAACAATGGAGTTAATGGAGCTTCTCTGCCTTTGTGAGTTTATCTGTTTATTTTAAACTTTTAAATTATTTCAGTTCTCAAATCCGAAACAAAAGTATATTTGCAATTTTCTTTATGATTTAATTATTTCATACTTATCATTTATCTACTTTTTCTGCACTTCATAATTTCAAAACGATCTTCGAAGATATGCTTTTAATGTGTTACGTGCTTCAGTCTTCTGTTTGTTTAAAGATTTAGGTCAGACTTTTGAAATATCTATTTTTTTCTTTATGCTACAAAAGTGTTTTAATACATTACAGTGATGTGCACAGGTTAATTGATACTTTTAGTTGTTTTTACGGTTTAAAAAATGTTCAAGTAATTTTTTTTTACCTATACTCTAAATGTATTTTTTAAGAAAACTCTAGTTTTAATTTTAAAGAATCTATAAATAAAACATGCTTTATCGAAAAATAGTAGGTATATATCTTAAGTTTTATTTACAAATAAAGTATGTGATAAATGTGTTCCAAACCTTTGGAAATATGAAACTTTAACTAAGTCTTATGTTCTCCTCTTTTTGTGTTCTTTCTTATTTCTCAGACTTATTATAAGTGAAGAATTTATTTTAATAAAATATGAATGTATGAAAAAAATTGATTTTTTTATGTATCTTCTGGGTGCCTACTAAATACTCTAACACTAAAAATGCTAATTAATTTGGTAAAACAATTTCTCTCTCCTATTCCTGTGATTGGCACTTTCTATAAGTGCAGACGATTTTTGCTTAAAGCGAAATATTTAGAATAAATTTAAAGATAGAATCAAAAAGGTTGATGGTTGTGGAATCTCTAGGCAATTAAAATCTCTTGGATTCAATAGAACATTAATATATAGATCTATAAATCGTTTATTGGATATTGTGACTATCAACCCAGGTCTGGTTGGACTCTCAGTTCGTACCAAAAAGCGCATTAAAAGATATGAAGAAATCCAAAGCATTCTGCTAATAAAATGGCTGCAGAAGAGAATGTGAGTCGAAAAACTATGTAAGTTATATTAAATGATGACCTGGGTTCTCGTCCTTATAACTAAAGAAAAATTCAAGGTTTGATAGCTGCAGAAAAATTAAAGAGGTTTCAAAGATGTAAGAAATTGCTGAACTGGCAAAACAAAAATGTTGACCGAATAAACATTTCTGATTTACCTCTTAATTAATTGTTTTAACAAATCATATCGAATCATTTTAACGAATTACCTCTTAAAATGATTCGTGATGTCATTGGACAATGGCGCGAGAGATTATCTTTAGTAATGGATTAAGATGGTGGTCGATTTGAATAAAAAATTTTAAGGTAAACCTCCATTTATAGTATTCATCATATTCCTGTATGAATTATTTTCTATTTAATATCTATACAACAAAATGACTCGATATCGGTGACAGTATTTTGTAGCCACGTGTAGGTTTAACTTTATGTTCCATTTTTATAATAAGTGATCATCCAGTCTCAATTCTATTTTTTAATGCTATAACTTTCTTTATTAATATAATTTTTTATTTTAAGTGTTTCTAAAAATCACTTATCTTGTATGTATATATTTATTTTTCTTTACTTCCTTTCTTTAATTATACTTCTTTTTCTTTTAGACTTGCTCAAAACGTCAACAACTATATTTCCATGAATCTTGGCATTAAAGACTCAATTCATAAACAAAAGATTGCTCTAAAAGCAATGGATGTTGTTCTTTTTGGGCGTCCTAAATGTAAGAAAATTGATTTTGGATATTAGATCTATTTTATTTTTTATTATAAATTTACTTTTTTTTATGGTGAAATTTATTAAGTGATATAACGTGTGTAAATATTTTTTTAGACTCTATATAATTTTATGTACCAATCATTATTAGTATTTTCAAGCCTTATTTCAAGCACCCAGCTTTTTTAAGGCTTAGAATAAATGCTAATTCATTGGGAGATTAATTAATTTGTTCCATTAGGGAAGGACTTTGGTTGATGTTATAAACATTTTGTAATTTCTTTTGTACAGAATGTAGTTGTAGTTAGATCAGTACTTACATGTTTTATCCTGTTAAAATGTGCTTCATTTTGCTTATTTTTTCTCTTTTTTTATGAATTTAGAAGAAGAAAAACATGTTTATCCTTAGTTTGTTGTATAGTGCTTATTTTGATGATAGCTATAATTAAATTCGAATTATTGTTTCCAATTTTTAAGTAATTTGTTTTTGATTTTGAATTTTATTAATTTGATAACAATCTACCAAAATACAAGGCCGCATTTTGAATGAAGTTTGAAGTGATGTTCAAGTATTTAGATACAGAAATTGAATAAATATTATAGTTCCTGATGAAACTGAGATATTTTAAAACTTTTATCCTCATGCTTAGATTGGATATAATTTAATTAATTGGATGTAGGATTAGGATATTAATTTATAAATTAACTCTATGTCTCTGAAATATAAAGCATGCATGTATAAAATAATTATTAATTAATGTAAAAAATGACAAAAAATTCTTTCTCTATACCTTTTATGACTTCTGTATCCAAAAAATACAATTGGTTTATATAGGCATTAGGTATGTAGGTACATTTCGCACTAAAGCTGCACAATGGGCTATTGACAACGGTTTGGGAAATATCCCTGAGGATGACCCGAAGTTGTCCCATCACAATTTTGATAATCTGCAGGGGAGTGGCTCCCCACATAATTCTTTCCTTACAAGTTTTATTAAGTTTTAAGCTAAAAAATATTTACATCACAAAGAATTAAAGAAAGGAAAAAGACAGTTTCAAATTTTTTTCTAATTGTTCCCACCCATACCGAAAGGGCAGTGGAGGATAGTGCTTGCATACTCCAACATCACTGATAAGCTGCCATGCTACTTTATAATTTGTTGCTATATTTTTATTAATACAGTCGAACTCGTTTATAACAAGCACAAAGGGACCATAACATGTACTCGTTAAATCCGAGTGCTCGCAATAAACGGGTCCTTAAGGCAGACGTGCAACCAGAAGAGGGGGGGGGCTTGGGAGGTCAAATGATTGAGTTGACTTAAAATTTAATTNTATACAGTCGAACTCGTTTATAACGAGCACAAAGGGACCGTAACATGTACTCGTTAAATCCGAGTGCTCGCAATAAACGGGTCCTTAAGGCAGACGTGCAACCAGAGGGGGGGGGCTTGGGAGGTCAAACGATTGAGTTGACTTAAAATTTAATTAATAACTTACTTTAATTACATTAATTAATTTAATTAAATACTTTTCTTAATTTATTGACAACTAACCCCCCAACTAGCAAAAAAATTTCTAGTTGCGCTACAGTCTTAAAGGAAAGAAAATATAAACAGAAAGAAAAATAAAGGAAAAGATTCTTACCAAAACATTTATTTTTTTCTTTAATTTAGATATTTAAAATAGTTTGTCAGCTTACTTTGAAGTCGCTCATTTCATATCATTTTGAAAAAAAGATAAGACAGAAAGACTGAAAAGATGAGAAAAAAGATTGCAAGACAGAAAAATATTGCTCGCTAAAATCGAGGCCTTGTTCCTTAAAAGCGACTTCTGTTAGATAGACTTAACATTGATCCAACCAAATATTCTCGTTTTCCTCGGTAAATCCGAGTTCTCATGAAATCCGAGCTCGTTATAAACGAGTTCGACTGTACTTGAAATTTATTTTTATTCATAAAGCAGCCGAAAGAAATTATCTCTTGATAATAATAAAATATTTTAAATTTTTATATTTTATGAAAGTTACTAAATTTACTCACAAGGGACTTATTTTTCAATTTAAACTGAATAGCAATTATTATTGATTTACTTACTGAGCCTCTTCAAAGTTTGGAGCATTGTAGAATGCATTGACTTTATTTCATTAATCTCTTGCGCATTGTGTACCTTTTCAAGTTTTAATTTCTTTCTTACCTTCATGTACTACTTATTCATTTAATATGGAGAGGATACTAGTAAGCTGAGCCTAAAAAATTAGCTGGTGGTTAATGTACACAAAAACAAAAACCTACCCACAAAGCATTATCAGTATCTCAAAAATAGCCGTAGATAAATCGGGCCGGGATAGCCTGGTTGGTAAGACGTTGGGCTCCTGTTCAGGAGAATGTGAGTTCGAATCCCGCTGGCCAAAGAATCCCCATGTATTAAATTATTAATGGTGCATGTTAAATCTGTCGGAATCGCACTCAAATTGTTTATAAAAAGCTAGTTTTCCTGTAGGCATTAGCGGGAAGCAAAGCCCTCCAAGTTCCCATAACAAATCAATTCCTCTGGGGGTACTGAATTGGAGATTGATCATTCTCTGGTTCAGGTCAAAATTACGATCTGTGGACGTATGATTGGACATTCCCAGTAAAACGGGCTGTGACGTGTGTGTCTGAAGTCCTATTTTCAACCATAGATGGTGCCCCTGAAAAAAATAAATGCACCCTCTGCCTTAAAAATTCAATTGATTTCAAGCAGACCTGCTGATATTGGCAAATGGCATTGGTAACAACAACATAGATAAATCGATTAAAAAAAACAAGGAGATAAAAGTGTACAATTTGCTAAATCATTGTTTTTTTTCTCCTCAGTTATATTAAAAGAAGTTAAAATCGTCATTTTCTTTTCAGACCGCAATTATTTTAAGGATGTGGCAGTTGCTGTATCTTGTATAGTTTCTGCTGGTGTGTGTTGGTTTGCTTATGTACAGAATAAATATTCAAAAGCTCACTTACAAAAAATGATGAAAGACATGGAGAGTTTACAAAAAGCTGAAGACTCACTTTTAGATTTACAAAAAGAGTAAGTATTGAATTTTGCCGTTTTATTTGATTGAATATTTAGTTAAAAATATTTCTGTGGTTTCTCTCTTATGAACTAATCATTCTGTCGGTTAAGTTTTTTATTAACTGTGCTTAACAATTTAAAATTACAAGAATGAAATAATTTTTTGAAACTATGTTTTCAAAGTCAAGCATAGCTTCCCATCTCTTCCTTTCATTTAAAATACACAATATGTACTTCTTTTTTCCATATATTGTTCTATTTTATCATCTTCAAAGATTAAACATTAGTTCAATTTTATTCATCAAGGATATTTGTCAGAAAAGGGATTTTGATTAATCCACCATGTTGTGGAGAGTTATCTAACACTATTTCCTTATTTATTAAGTAACTAATTAATATTTTTTTGTGTCATTTTATTCACAGGAATGTGTTTTAATAAACCTAGTTTAAGTTTTAAAGTCAACCTTCATATTTGAACTTTTTTAGAAAGATTCAACCAAACTCAGATCTTATGTAACAGATTTGTTAAACAAATGATATGTAACTATAAAAAAATACTAAATATGTTCTTAAAAAAAACTTTTAATTTTTTGCGCTTTGATCATTACTGTTTCTTTAACATTACAATTTACTGCTCTAGTCTTTTCAAAGTAGACTTCATTGGACTTCGCAAAAATGTGCATATGCAAATGGGAGAATCGATTCATATTTAATGTTATTTCTTGAAAAACTTTTTGATAAAAAATTAAAATGTTAATGGAAAATTTTTACTGCTTTTGAAACATTCTATTAAATATTTTTGGTGTTTCCCTTTATTTATTTATTTTTTTCATGTTCTCTGAAGCTATTTATTTTATTTCAGACTAAGTAAAGCAAGACATGAACAAGAAATCGTTAGTATTGAAAAGCAAGATCTTGAAAGAAGGCTTCAAGATGTGAGATTTATTAATTTTTGTACTTATTTTCCCAAACTGTCTTTACTATACTTAAATTTTTTAAATCCTTAGGATGTGTTGTAGGTTGCAAATTTAAACTTGAACGAAACATGATTTAGAGATTGAAAATTGTAGCACAAGTTTAACAATAATTTGTGAACTGTAAGACATTTAGTATATCATTCGGGCAATAATGCGTTTAGTATATCATGCATTTAGTATATCATGCACTTAGTATATCATGCATTTAATATATCATGCATTTAATATATCAACATTTAGTATGTCATGCATACAAACATTTAGTAAATGTACATTTAGTATTAATGGCATTTAGTATATAATGCTTATGATTAGTTTTCTTGGCATTAAAATAATTCTGCAAATTCATTATTTTAGATTTTTAAGAATCTGTTTTCATTGTTTCTCTACTTTTATTTTTCATGAAGTAGAAATTATTTAGTTGTTGTCTCATAAAAGAGCAGTTTCTGAACTACGTTGACATTGACGCAATTTATAAATCACACATGACAAGTTGTATTAATGTAACTGGTAAATCACAATTCCCTATTTTATTAACGGAATTTACTAATCTTTCATGCGATAGGAATTAACTTTTCACTAACCACACAATCTGAATTTGTATGCATATAATTTCCAGATAACTTTCCCAGAATTTTTATTTACTCTTTTTCAAAAACTTGCTCATTACTCATTCACAAGTTCAATGAATCATTTGCATTAAAGAACAACAGTTTCAATAAAAATTGATAGCCCTTTTTCGCTGCGACAATCTGAAGAAATATGTTTTGTGTCAGCTATTATTATTTTATGAAGGGGTTAAAATCAAACTGACTGCTCTTAAAGATGGGTAGTTCTGGTTCTATTATGTGGTTCCAAATGCATGTTATGTAAATCATATAATCATTGCTTTAGTCTGGTTTGAAATTTTTCCGACATGTTACAGTGGAACATCGTTTATACGACGCTGAAGGGACCACCGAAAAACGTCGTATAAACGATGACGTCGTATAATCGATTTTTACTTCTAAAACTGAAACTTACTCTGTTTTCAGTTAATTTTAATGTTTAACGTGTTGATTTACATAAATTTCTAAATTAGACAAAGCAAAACAAACAAATAACCAAAGAAGAAAAATTGCAGTGAGCAATTTGAATGTATGTTACCTT